TCGGGGGTTGGGCCGGCCGGGGTGCTGAGGCCGGGCCGGGGGTGGCTGGAGGGCCGGGCCGGGTGCAGAGGCCGGCCGGGGGCCTGAGACTCACCCTCCGCTTCCTCTCAAACTCCCTGCAGACGCGGGCCGCCACCTGGGCCTCCTCCTGCAAGGGGAGGAGCGGAAAGGGGCTCAGCTAGGGGCGAATCCAAGGACGGGAAGGGAAACTGAGGCTCAGACAGACGACTGCAGTCCCCAACCCCCCGACCGCGCACAGGCACCCACCCGTGAAGCTCAGGAAATCGGGGAGCCGCTCCCGCCGCTGGCGTCACCGCCTGAGCCCCGCCCCCCACCCCCAAAAAGTCCCTGGTGCCAAAAAGGTTGGGGACGGCTGGGCGGAGCCGCCCGCCCAAGGAGGACCTGCGGGGCTGACCGTGGACACGCGCCACGGTGCCCAGCCGGCCTAGAGGAGGGAGTCTCAGGACTCTGCCCCCAGCGGGTGTCCCCTCGGGCTGTGGGGCCGCGGGGCAGGACCCGTCCGCGGAGCCCACCTGGCTGCGGGGCGCGGGCAGGGCGCAGAGCAGGGCCTCCAGCTGCCGCAGCTTCGCCTGCGCGCGCCCCACGTCCCGCCGGAGCTCCAGGAACTCCGCGCGCTGGTCCTCGAACACGGCGGCATAGCGCCTCCTCTCCCTCGCGCTGCTCACCGCCGGGTACTTCCTGCCGAGTGACGTGCATCAGGCGCGAGCGGGAGTGGCAACAGCTCCCCTCTTTTCCCCAGTGCGCGTAGTCTGTTTTGCTTCGCTCACGCCGGGCTTACAGGCCCCGGCGAACTCTTATTCAGCTGTCAAAGCCCCAGCCTCAGTGCCCCTTCCCCGTTCCCAGGCATGCAGGATCACACGGGGGGTGGGGGGCCACTCACAGCTCGTAGTCGGGCACCGGGTGAGGCCGGGCAGGCACGTGCCCACCAGGGATGGCTCGGACGGGCTTCTCGGCGCTCAGGCGAGTCTGGGAGGGCAGCTCATCCTCAAAAGCGATCTTCCTGGGCGTTGCCCTGCGGGCTCCAGGCTGCGGCGGGCGCGGAGCGCGGGGGGCCCGGGGGAGGTCCGGGGGCGCCGGCCGCTGCTGCAGCACAGGGATCACAGGCGCGGTCACCGGGGCCGCCCGGGGGGACCCGAGCCCTGCGCCCGGGCCCGGCCTGGGGCGCCCCTCCCGGGCAGACTCACCGGGGGCCCGGGGCCAGGCGGGCGGGTCTGCGGCGCTGCCGGGCGGGCGTCGCCTGGGAGCGCGGGTCCGCGGGCGGCGGCGGGCCGGCGGGGAGGCGGCGCACGCGCGGGGCGCGCCCGGAGCGGCCGGCTCTCCGCCCGCGGGCGCGCCCCGCGCTCGGCCGCTATTTGCATAGGCCTACGCCATTGGCCCTCGGCGCGGCCCCGGCCCCGCCCCCGGCCGCGTAACCCGGAAAGGCGCTATGCAAAAGAGCCGTGACGTCACCGCGCAGCGTGGGGCGGGCTCGAGCTAGCCCCCCGTGCGGCCGGAGCCTTTCCCTCCTGCGGGCAGCGAGGAGCCCAGGGCCGCCGCCCCCCAAAGGAGCCCCCCGGAACCCCCGCCCAGCCTGCAGGCCGCTCGGGTCGCTGCCGCCCGCGGTCACCTGTCCCAGCGTCCGGGGCGCCGAGCCTGGGTCCGCGGCGCGAGAGGCGCTCGAGTCCGGGCTGCGCGTTCACTGAACGCGGGACCTGATTGGCAGGGTCGCTTAGCAGGCCGGGGGCGGGGCCTGACGCATGGGGGCGTGGCCTTACGGTGCGAGGCGGGGCCCGAGGGCGGGGGCGTGGCCTTCCAGGGCGGGGCGGGGCCTGGCCCGCTCACTCTCCCTCGAAACACAGGTTCGAATCCCACCTTGACCCAGACCCGCTGCGTATCTAGAGCTGGCTATTTAGTCACTCTATCTGACCCTCATTTCATTTGTCTGGGAAAAAACAAAACAAAAACGAGGTAGTTTTCGCGAACTTAACTTTTTTTCCCCCAGCAATTATATTTTAAAGTTATAATTTTTATCAGTAGAGGCATAATTTAGAAAAATTCAGACAATAGGAAACCCACACAGGGCAAAAGTGAATTTCTCACCCACGCCCGTCCCCAGGCGCAGCAGTTATTAAACATTCCTGTCTCCTTCCGGAGAGATCCTAATTCAGTGACGGACATGTCTGTTTTATTGATTGCAAAAGTACTCGCGTGAAAGTTTGGCCGCATGTGGGACAATTATCCTTCCGATAAATTCCTAGAAATGGAATTACTGGGCAAAGGGACCTGTTTTCTTTGTTTTGTTTTCTTTTTTGTTTTTTTTGGAGACAGAGTCCGCTCTGTCGCCCAGGCTAGAGTGTAGTGCCGTGGCGTCAGCCTCGTCAAAAACAGCAACCTCGACTCCCTGGGCTCAAGCATCCTCCTGGCCTCAGCCTCCCCGAGTAGCTGGACACAGGCACATGCGCCACCACGCCCGGGCTCATTTTTTTCTAATATCCATATTTTTCGTTGCCAATTAATTCCTTTCCTATTTATTCAGTAGAGACGGTGCTCTCGGCTCTTGCTCAGGGCTTGGGTCCTGGAACTCCCTGACCTTGAGCAATCTCCCGCCTCGGCCTCAGAGTGCTGGTGAACAGGCCTGACCGCCGCGCCCCCGCCCTATCTTTTGGAACATTTAGAACTATTGAACCCAATCTGGTGAGTGAAAAAGTTTAGAAACCATTTGTGTTGTTTTCCTGTTCATATCCTGCGAATCTTCGTGTGTGTAAGAGATGAGGTCTCACTATATAATCCAGGCTGCTCTTATTATTTATTTGAGACAGAGTCTCACTCTGTCCACCAGCTAGAGTGAGTGCGTGGCGTCAGCCTCGCTCACAGCAACCCTCCAACTCCTGGGTCAAGCGAATCCTCCTGCCTCAGCCGTCCTGAGTAGCTGGGGTACAGTGTGAACCACCACGCCCCGGACTCCATTTGTTCTAATTGTTTTTAGAGATCTCTTAGGGGTCCCTTTATGTTGCTGCAAAATGCTGTCGCAAAAACTCCTGGACTCAAGCCATCCTCCCTCTTTGCCCGCTCCCTGCCCCAAAAGTGCTAGATTACAGCGCATGGAGCCGCCTGCACCTGGGGCCTTACTGTGATTTAGGAGTTGTCAGCTTCTTCATGATCCAAGAAAATTTAACTGTGCGGCGTATCTTCTCTGTTGCTATTATAAATGGGATACCCCAAGACCTGTGTTGATGGGGGTCCACCTCACTGACGCTCACTGGAGTGAACACTCGTGGATGATGCCCTCTCTGGGGCCTGTCCCGGGGTATTGGAGAAGGCTTCCCAGCCACAGGGCCATCGTGGTTAGGGCTTTGCTGGATGAATAGGAGTTTGGTAGAAGGCAGAGAGCATAGCACTGGAAAAACAGGGCCGTAGGGGGTTCACGTTCATGCCTGTTCATGTTCTCAAGGGACAGACACCTGAAGCACCTGTCACCTGTCCACCCTCCTTCCTTTACCGACCGACCTCAGTAACTGCCCTTTCAGGCTGTGCTGTCTGAAGTTGGGGTGAACAGAGCCTAGGACCCACTGTCTCCCCGGGGTTCCTGCTCCACAGCCCAAGCCAGGGCCCTCCCAGTCCTCTGCTGAAATGACCAGAAAGTGGCCTGGGCAGGACAGGATCTCCACTAAGTTTTTTTTTTTTTTTTTTTTTGAACAGAGTCTTACGTTCTTTTGTCCACGGCTGAGTGAGTGCCGTGGGTCAGCCGTACAGCCCACACCTCAGACTCCTGGGCTCAAGCGATCCTCCTGCTCAGCCTCCGAGTAGCTGGGAACAGCATGCGCACCGAGCCTGGGCTTCATTTGTCTCTATATATTTTTAGTTGGACCAAATTATTTCTTCTTTTTATAAGGACGGGTTCACTTCTGCTGCAGGGTGTCTCAATCCACCTCGAGCGTCTCCGTCTCCCAGAGTGCCGGGACTGAAGGCCGAGGCGCCGCGCCTGGCCCCTTCTTCCTCTCTTGGCTTGTGCCTTTCTGTGGCTTCGCCACGCCTCCCCGGCCACCGGCCCAGCCCCAAAGCGACCCCTGGACCGGGGCGAGGGGCAGAGAGGAGACAGCAGCCGGGCGGGGCGGGGCTTTATTTGAGCTTGGGCATGATGCGGATGAACAGGATCATGCTGATGAAGATGAAGCAGACGACGATGAGCATGGCCCAGAGCAGCCAGTTGACCGACTTCTGCGTGTGCTGCTCCAGGCGCTCGGACTCCGTCTTCAGCTTCTCCAGGCTCTGGTCGGCCATCTTCAGCGAGTGCGACAGGGTCTGTGGGTGAGGCGGGGACAGTGTCAGCGGGACTGGCGCCAAGCCCGGCCTCTCCCCGCTGCCCCCGGGGCGGGCCTGCCCCTCTCTCTCGGCCCTGGCCAGTGTTGTGCTGCTCTCTGCTGGGAATGCCATTTCTGCCTTCTACCAAACTCCTATTCATCCTGCAAAGCCCCAGCCACAGTGCCACCGTGCTGGGAAGCCTTCTCCAAGGCCCCAGGGCAGGGAGGCTGGAGAGTTCCCCCAGCTCCCACACCTGGTTGTCCTTCTTGATGACGCTCTGGGCCGCCAGCGTGTTGGTCTTGAGGCTCCGGGCCAGGCCCAGCATCTCCTCCGCCAGCTTTTCCTGGAGGTCCTGGTGCCGTTGCAGGACGAAGTCTAACTCAGCTGCCGACTGCTTTTCACCTGCTGGCCCGGACCCTGCCGCTCCACTGGTCCCACGCGCGGGGACGTGGGGACAGGAGGGCGTGAGAGACGGGGTCGGGGAAGGGGGAGAGGCTAACGCGTTCCCAGGGAGCCCAAAGGTCACGGCTCCAGGCACGGCCCTGCTTGGGCCTCAGTTTCCCACCCCCACCCCCCTTTTGCTTTGGCTTCTGGGAAGAGCGTCCCCAGAACCGGTCTCCTGCGGGCGGCTTGCACCCCGGCGGCCGTGCCTCGGTGGCCCGGGGTTTGTCCAGCACCCTCCCCCCCCCCCCGCCCGCGGCTGCGGACACTCACGTCCTCCTCCGCACGCCCAGCGCAGGCTCTGAAAGCGAAACGGGCCGAGCAGGGGGAAGGAGGGGTTCGGCTTCCTGCGCCCAGACTCCCGCCCGGCCCGCGCCGTCTGCTCCTCACGGGGCCGCCTGCCCAGCCGCCCTGCTCGTGCCCCAGGCTCCGGCCTCAACACCCCCTCTTCTAGGACGCTCCCCCCCCACACCCGGGCCACCCCAGAACCCAGGCCCTGCCTCCGGCCCAGCCTTGGCTCCGGAGACTGCCTATGTCCAGCTCTGTCTCCTCTGGGGGTCACCTCCTCTGTCTCCCCCGGCTCCCCCTCCAGGGATGACTCGGGGGGACACTGTCACCCCGGGCTGGGCGTGAGGGGCGGCAGGGAGGCGTGCCTCGTCCCAGGCAGCGGGGTCTCAAGTCCTGCTCCGGACGAGCTCACTCACCTCTGGCAGAGTCCTGTGGGCAGAAGGAAGAGGCAGGCACGATGTCACCTACTTTGTCCCAAGCCTGTCCTTTCTGCTCCCAGAGCCTCCCCGCCCTCAGTCAGGACCCTGGGCAAGTCCTGTGACTTCTGAGCCTCAGTTTCCTCGTCTACAAACGGTTAACAACGGCAGCTTGTGCTGGGAAGCGTTGAGCGGATCCATGTAAAATGCTCAGGAGAACACCTGGCCTTGCGGGACGGCCCCCTGCGGTCCCTGTCCCTGACAGTATTGTCATTCTGGCCACCCCCCACCAGGTGCTGAAGCCCCGTCCCTGTGCAGGGAGTTGGGGGGGGGACCAGAGGGAGCCCTACCGTGCCCAGCAGCTCGCCACGCATCTCGCCGGTGTACCGAGCCCGCGACTGCAGGTGCACCGTCCTGGTGGCGGGTACCCGCTCCCTGGCCGTGGTCGGCACGCGGCCGGGGGCCAGGAGCTGGTTGGCAAGCGCCTTCTCGGAGGAGGAGGTCTGCAGACACGTGGGAAGAGAGGTCACTGCGGGGCAGGCCCTGGGGGCCCCAGGGAGCAGGACAGGGCGAGAGGGCAGAGGGGACCCCCCTCACCAGCTTCTCTGCCCGCAGCATCCCCTTCAGGAAGTCCACCTTGCGCGAATACTCGTTGATCACCTCGGAGGCCGGTTTGCTGGAGGGCAAGAAGAAGAGAAAGAAAATGCAGGGGGGGGGGCATTATTTGAAACCTTAAATTTTGTACCCCCATAATATGCTGAAATAAGAAAAACAAAAAGGAAATGCCCACTGTCCCCAGCTCGAGGAGGGGTCCCAGCTGGGCCTGGGGGGCACTAAGAACCCCACGCCCTGCATGTGAAGCCCCCGCGGCGTCGGCACTCACCTCGCGTGGGCCTTCAGGGCCTGCAGCATGTCCTCCAGGGCCCCCACGTACTGGGGAGGGAAAGTGGGGTGTCAGCCTGGTCCTCCCCAGGCCCTTGCTCACGTGGGTCAGGGCCAGGGACCAGGGGCGGCCGGCAAATGGGAGGAGCCTAGTGAGAAGGAGGCGGGGCCACCAGGGAGGGGCGTGGCCCCAGGGACGTGGGCGTGGCCCCAGCGACGGGGCGGGACTGCAGGTGGACGTGGCGGAGCTGACCGGAAGGGGCGTGGCCAGCATGGGTCCTCGGGAGGGAGAGTCGGGCCGTGTGGCCTCCAGCTCCGGGAACCAGCCTCCGGGAGTCGGGCGATACGCGGCCGTGCGGAATTCTCCTCACCTTCTCCAGACGCCACTCGTCCGGGTCCCGCTTCTCCGCTGCCATCGCCTCGCAGCGACACAGCAGCCGCACCAGGTTGAGCTCCAGCCTCGACGCCGCCATCTCCGCTCGGCGGCGCCCCGCCCCTTCCGCCGGCGCCATCTTAAGGGAGGGCGGAAGTGCCTTCTTCTGGCCTCCTTCCGGTTGGAGGTGTTTCCTCCCCCTCCCGCTTCCGTTCACTTTCCCATCTTTGGGGCGGAGTATCTTGTTTTAAGGCGAGGCGACGTCACGTCCGTATCGCCTCAGGGCTGAAGTGCTTGCTTTTCCTCCGTGGCCTTTTAACCCTTGGGGATGAGTTGGACGCGGGGCCTCTGGCGTCAGACCCACGTGCAACGCGCCCTTACCCCGAAGTCTCCCTCGCCCACTCCTGCCTGGGTTCTTCCCCCGCCGGGTCCTTTCCCCACGAGGCAGCCTTCCCGATTTGTCTTGGGGGAGAGGCCCTGGCCTGGGACTTGGGGATGCAAGGCTCCCCCAACCTGGGGCTTATTATCTGTCGGAGGGCTCATCCGTAGTTCAGTTATGAGGTTCGGGGTCCTAGCCCTGACTCTGACTCTATTTCTGGCTGTGGCCTCGGGTGGGTTTCTGTGCTGGACTCCCCTGGGAAATGGACAGTGTGACAGTGCCTGCCATAAGGGGGACACGAGCCAGCCCTGGGAGGCAGAGGCGGGGTCGGATCACCCCTAGTGTTGAGAACCCAGTCCCAGCACACATGGGTCCCCAGGAAGCCGAATCCCCCAGGCCTGCAGCGCCACTCTTCTGAAACGGATGGGGTGAGGGTGGGGACTTCATGAGGAAACCAGAGCCTGGCATGCAGCCCTCACGCCAGTGGCCCTGATGTCCTTGGAAAATACCCTCGAGGAGACCACACCCAGGGCCAAAAAAGGGGGCCTCAGAGGCTGACAGAGCAGTCTGAATGCCAGGCCCCCCGTTCTAGAGTCTCAAGTACCTCCGGCCAGCCCCCCTCCCGCCCTGGGAAACACCAACAGCAGCGTTCGCTGGAGGATGAAGGCAGGTCCTCCCTGACAGGGGCGCAAGCCCCACCCGCAGCCCTCTTGGCTGAGGCTGCAGGTCTGACTCTGCCCACCAGACGTGCTCTTCCAACCCCTCGCGTTCTGGGTAGGAATCCCATGCAGACGTGTCTCAAGCACTTTTTCTTTATTTCACACGTTGTGCAGGGTGCCCCCGTCCCAAACCCGTGGCCGCGTGTCCAAGTGTCCGGGGAGTGGGCTGGGCCTGAGAGAGAAGGGCCGCATCCCAGAGAGCCCCAGGCTGTCACTGCTGACCTGTAGGGACGTCTGACTTCAGGCCTTGTCCTCTCCACCTGTGAGCAGTCCTGAGTCACTGGCTCTTGTACTGTCACCTGGGGTGCACAGAGCCAAGGGCAGCCTTCTGCAGCTGCGGAGTCCAGAGGAGTGATGGCCACATTCAGGTCTCCCTGGCACTTGAGGTCTGTGTACCCTGGGGTGGAGGCCGCCCCCGACTCATGTCCAGGCTCCAGGCCACAGCTCCACCCCCGTGGAAGGCGCCAGCGTTCCCTGGGATTCACGCGGGCAAGGTGGCTGCCCACGGGAGACACGTGTGGGAGACAGACCTGCGGTGGCCTGACGCCCGAGTGTCTGAAACCCTCGTGGAGGGTCCAGGCACACTGACCACCCCCATGTCGACTGCAGCACGAGTCTGAGGCCTAGAAGCGCAGCCGCCGAGTGGCCTCTGCTCTGCCGACTCACGTCCAGATTGCAAGGGGGACGCACAGCGTTAATGGAAAAGTTTGTACATACACATATAAAAAACGATTTGGTCTTCCGTTAAGGCTGTTAACAGTTTAAAGTTATGTAAACCACGTCACAGAGAAACAGTTACCGAGAAACGTACAAAAAGTAAGGGAGGAGGTGACAGGCTGCCCGCCGAGGTCTGCTGCTTCTGGGGGGCCTGTGACGTGGGGGCCACAGCCGCGCCGGCCTCGCCCCGCCTTGCCTCTGCACTTGGAGCCGGTGTCCACCTCAGGGGCGCTTGGAGCTTTCCACCCTGGACGCTTCTCTGAGAGCCGCACGCTCACTTTGCGGCAGCAGCCGGGGACTTGCCTTGGATGTGGAGGCCGTGGCGGCCGGGGACTTCAGCCGTTGGCCGGGCCGGAGGCGGGGGGCAGGCAGTACGTTGGGGGGTCCGAGTACCTCCGCTTGGCCCCAGGCGGCCGGCCGGCCTCGTCCAGGGGCTCCAGAGACACCTGCACGGGCAGGTCTGCCCCCGGCGTGACGTACACGGAGTGCACCTGGTCCGGGCGGCGGGCGGGCGGTTCTCGGCGCCTCACGGAGGCAGCGGCCGCCCGGGCACCTGGTGCCCAGCCGGGCAGCTGGGAGGGCAGGCCCGGCGGGAGCTTGATGTTGGCTGTGGGCATGATGGGGGTCCGCCGGGGCATCTTCACTCTGACCGTGACGAAGGACGAAGGCCTTCGTGGTGGAGGGGCGCCCGCCGTGGGGAGGGGGCTCGGGGCGGACGCGCTGGGGCAGGGGAGAGCAGGCACAGGGGGCCCTTTTGAGAGACAGATGGCAGGGTTACTGCAGCTTTGGGGCCGGCAGCCAGACCCTCGCCCCAGGCCCAGCCCGGGGTGGACGGGAAGGAAGAAAGCAGACGCTACCTTAATACTGACCTTCCGCGGCCCCCCGCGCTGCCCGCTCCTCTAGCAGGCTCTCGGTGCTGGCGGACGTCTCCGAGTCCAGGTTCTCCTCGTCCGAGCCCCTGGGGTCCAGCTCTGGCAGCCGGTAAGTGATGTCCTCCCTGGGGCAGAGAGAGGGGTCATGGTATCCAAGGCCATCCCACAGAAAGGTCCAGGCTGGTACGGGACACATCAGGCTGTCCTGCTCCCTGCCACCACTCCCTTCCCCTCCCCCAAGCAAATCCGGCCAGAAATGCCCCGGGTCCTCAGACGCTCACTGGACGAGAGCATCAGGCTGCTCAGGGCAGCCTGCGCATTGGACCCAACCCCGGGTTACTGACATGCTCTTGCCTCAGGGCCTTTGCACGTGCTGTTCCCTCAGCCTGGAACACCCTCCCCTGTGCCTAAGGCTAAGGTGGCCAAGCAACCTAGTCACATCTGTTCTCCTGGCATTATTATCACTATTTTTTTTTTTTTTTGAGACAGAGTCTTACTTTATTGCCCAGGGTAGAGTGAGTGCCGTGGCGTTAGCCTCGCTCACAGCAACCTCCAACTCCTGGGCTCAAGCGATTCTCCTGCCTCAGCCTCCCGAGTAGCTGGGACTACAGACGTGCATCGCCAAATAGGGGCTCCCTTTCAGCTCACACGTCAGCTGGAAGACAGATTAGGAAAGACCGCCTTCAAGGCAGAGCTGGAACATAGCCTCTGTCACCCCCTCTCCCCGTGGGCCACCGTGGCCCCCTGTGGTCAGGCATGGGGTTTCAGCAGAGTGTTTTTATGAGTGTTCCTGGTCAAGTATTGTTTATCCGTGTTAGGGACAAGGGGACCACCTCCTGAAGGCCATGCCCTCAACTGCCTGAGGGCCAGCGGTCGGGGCGGGCCGAGGGAGGGAGGGGCTGGGAGGGACACTTGCTTCTCCTCCTTGATGGACTGGATCCGCTCGATGAGGATCTCCTTCTCCCGGTCCTCTTCTCCGCCGGCCGCCTCCTCCTCCGGCAGCACCTCCAGCTCCTCCAGGCCACTGCCCTGGCTCGCCCGGGCCTTGGGGCTCTTGTTCTGAAACCAAAGCGGCGGGTGTGATCAGCACCTCCAGGAGGGCGGAGGTCGCAGGGCAGCGTAGCAACCCTGGGGAGGTTAGTTCCGACGTGCACGTGCAGGGCTCTGGGTGAGCCGTCTCCAGGAGCCCCGCGGGGACAGAGTGGCAGGAGCTCGGGTGATTAGTCACGGTCAGCACAGACAGTCAGTGGCAGGGGCCTCCCCCAGCATGCGCTTCCCGAAGGTTAGGACATGCTCGCTCCATCCGAGAGAACCCCGGGGCCGAAGAAACCCAGCATGCACCGCGCCGGGACACATGCGCCGCGGGCCCCAGGACGCGTACATACCAGGACCCCCTCATGGGGAGACGAAAACCCCAGTTTGAGAGGCCAAGGCTGGGAGAGAGATGAACACTGGGTGACCACGCAGGAGTGACTGGGGGTCACATCCGACAACCATGGACCTGCCCCCCGACTAACACCTCTCCCTACCATGGGGACTGATGACCTGAACCAGCACGAAATGGGTGACAGGTCTCCCCTAACCTTTCCCACCTAGAAGAACAATCCGGGTGAGGCCGAGCATGGACTGTGGGCCTTTTGGTCAGGGCAGGAAATCCGCCCTTGCGCGCAGCCACGAGGCCTGCGTGAGGCCCACGGTGTGCCGTGAAGGGGCGGGAAACTGGGGAAGCAAGACCACGCCCACCGCCCGGCCCCGCCCCGCCCCTCGCACCCAAAGCCCGGCCTCTAGGCCCCGCCCCCAGCCTCCGGGCTCACATTTCATCGCAGCAGCGAATGAGGCTCCTCCACCCACGGCCCCGCCCCCTCAAAGCCCCGCCCCCAGCCTCCAGGCTCACAGCATTTTGTCGCAGCAGCGAGAGCCGGCGGAAGGCGATGCTCTCTGCCGCCTCCAGCTGGCTGATCTCCTCCATCTTCACTCTGTACTTCCGCATCTGCTCCTTGATCAGCATCTCCACGCACCTGCGGAGAGGCCCAAGGCGCAGCCGACTCAGGGGGGCGTTGGCCGGAGACTGGGGCTGGGAGACCCAGAGACCAGGGCCAGGACACGGCCGTACGGGCTCCCGTGCTGCGTGACTTCGGGACTCCCTCCACCTCTCTGAGCCCGAGTCCCCGTCTCTGCAAGCTTCCTTGATTGAAGGAGGGTCAGAGTGAACGGAACCCCTCAGGCCCAGGGAGGGTGGTGACTGTTCTGCCTCGCAGAGGACCCGGAGGGGCAGGGGGGCGTGTGCTTGGACCGCAGCATTTCTGCTCGGTGGTCAGGGCCAGCGTGCGGCTCTCAGGACAAGGAGGGGCTCAGCCCCAGAGCGGTCGGTACCAGGGCTGGGGAGGTGGGAACCCAGCACGGAGGGGCAGTCTGGGACCCAGGTTTCCCACTGTCATGACCACAGAAGGAAGAAAGGACCAGAGGATGTTCTGGAAGAGCCTGGAAGCAGTTCTGTCAACACCACACCACCTGGATGGTACCAGAGCCTCATGCTCCTGACTGCCTGTCGCTTTTCCTTAACAGCGACAACCCTGGCCTGGGGGACCTGCTGGCAGGTGTCCCTCTCAGGCCTTGTCTTTGTGTTTGCCTTGCAGAGCCACAGAAGGTCACAGGCTCCTGATGTTCGCAGCCACGGCCCTAGGACCATCGTGTGCTCCTGAGTTCTGAAGAACGTTCAGAGAACTTTTGAAGGACGCTCAGGGGGAAGAACAAAACAAAATACAGCCGGGCGCGGGGGCTCACACCTGTAACCCTAGCACTCTGGGAGGCCGAGGTGGGCGGATCGTTTGAGCTCAGGAGTTCGAAACCAGCCTGAGCAAGAGCGAGACCCCGTCTCTACTATAAATAGAAAGAAATTAATGAGCCAACTAAAAATATATAGAAAAAAAAATTAGCCGGGCATGGTGGCATGTGCCTGTAGTCCCAGCTACTCGGGAGGCTGAGGCAGGAGGATTGCCTGAGCCCAGGAGTTGGAGGTTGCTGTGAGCGAGGCTGACGCCACGGCACTCTAGCCTAGGCAATAGAGTGAGGCTCTGTCTCCAAAACAAACACCAAAATAATTTGGCTTCTTTGCTCCTTTTTTTTTGGTTCTTCAGCCTCAAAAGAACTCGGAAGTGATACTCCCTGCTGGAGGAGACAGTCAGGGCCACGTCTTCGCCTGGGCGGGTGCGGGGAGCCCTGCGGCGCAGGCTGCAGGGGTAGCTGCCTACTCGTTTCTTTTCCTTCCCTGCAGCAGGGAGGGAGCCCTCTACTGCTCACCTTCCATCCAGCTTCTGATACGAGCTGTTCCGTGCTCCTTAGAGCACATTCGGATAGAAAGAAGGACGCAAAGTCGACCCATAGCGCACAGCTCAGACACAACTGCTGGGGCCGTTGCTATGGGTATTCTCTTCTGGACTTTTTTTTCCTTTAATGTTTTTTTAAGAGATGGGGTCTTGCTATGTTGCCCAGGCTAGTCTTGAACTGCTGGCCTCGAGCGATCCTCCCACCTCAGCTCCCAGAGTAGCTGGGACTACAGGCTCACACCATTGCGCCCAGCTTTGGACGTTTCTTACGCACACATTCCCACTGCTGGACGGAGGCGTGTGGGGGAGCGGGGACCCTGGTGGGGCCCCTGCACATGTGTCTGGGGCGGGGCTGGCCCTGCCTGGCACTCACGTGGTGATCTTGAGCACGTCCTTCATGCTGGTCAGCGGGTCTGCGTTGTCAGGGCAGCGCAGGAGGCAGGGTGCAAAGACGATGGCCAGCGCCCCGGGTGACATGCGGTTCACATCCTCGAGCAGGGCCACCCTGCATGGCCTGGCGGTTACGGGGTGGCCACAGCCCGGGGGGGGGGGGAGGTCCCAGGGAGCCCTAAGACTGGACTTGGGAGCCCCGGGGTGGATGCTGGGAAAGGAGCACCACAGCCCAGAGGTGCGAGACACTCACTTCCGTAGCTCAGAGAGGTGCCTCAAAGGACCCAGGGCGGCCCAGCGGACGGGTGGGCTCGGCCCTCTCCCAGAACCCTCCACCTCGGCCACCTCCTGGTGCAAACCCACCGGAGAACACCGGCCGGGCTGCGCTAGGAACGCTGCCTCAGGGGTTCGTGAGGGGCCCCCACCCCCACGGAGGGCAGGGAGGCACTTGCTTGACAAGGTGGAAGACCAGCCGCTCCAGGGAGTTGTGGTTGGCTTCCGGGAGGTGCTCCAGGACAGCGTAGATAGCGGCCAGCTGCTCCTGCTTCTCGGGCAGCTCTAGGGAGGCCCAAGGCGTCAGCTCCCGAGGGCCCCACAGTGCCAGCCCCACCCCACTGGCGGGCACTGGTGGGTGCCGCCTTCCCGGTGCTGCTACAGTAGGTATGTGGCGAGAGGGAAAGGCCAGAGGGGTCCCAGCCCCGCCCTGAACTGGGGTGTGCTCGGCTCATCTTGTGAGCAGGGTGTTCCCACTCGGTCCCCGCCGTGGCCGGCCGTGGGGCTCACCGACGGCTCGGAGGAAGTCGCTGTACTGGGCGAACGTCATGAGGGGCTCCGGCAGCTCGCGCAGCCACTGCTTCAGCACGCCGGTGATGGCGTGGATGGGGAAGTCCTCCAGCTTCACCGCCGCCGGGTCTGCGGACCGGGCAGGGCTGGTGAGCGCCGCGCAGGCCGGGAGGCCGAGCCCGGTGCCCGGCAGGCGCCCACCTGTCCGCGGCGCCCACCTGTCTGCAGTGCCTGCCGGAGCTCCCGAGTGCGGTTGGCCGCACCCGACTTGCGGTAGAGGCCCTCAGTGTACAGGCCGTGCATCTCCACGTGTTCCAGAAGCTTCTCCAGCACGATGGGCACGGAGACCTTGTCGTTGGTCAGGCTGTCCACGCACACGCCGAAGTGGCCGGGCTCCGCACCCGACTCGCCCTGCCGTGCGGGGGTTGGGGGCTCAGGCCTGGGTCCACACAGGGCCCAAGGCAGCCGCTGCTGTGACTCTGGCCCTCCGTGCCCCCGTTTCCCTGTGCGCGGCAGGCGCCAGGCTGTGGGCGTCAGCTCAACAGCCACCGGGACGGTTTGCACCCGCAGGGTGGGTGGCCCTTCCTGGGGAGAAGACTATTCCCTGGCCCTCACAGCCCCTCAGAGAAGTGGAACCTGACTGGCTGCACCCCAGCACATGGGACCCCACCTTCCTCGTTGTGCAGAGTTGGGGGCTTTCCTCTACCGGGCTCAGGACCCTCCCAGGGGGAGGGATCAGCAGGGCTGGGGGGCTGAGACGCACACGCACGCCCGGCCCTGCCGCGGCAGCCTCGAGACATTCAGATAGAACCCGGGGGTGGGCGTGTGTTCTGTGGCAGAGCCCCTCCTGCCGCTTCCTGTGCTCGCCCAAGGCCCTCATGTGGCCTTCACACCAAGTACCACCTCCCCAAGGCACCCGGCCCCGCGTGCAGTGTCATTCTAGAAATTTCTGGGCCCTGGTGTGCTCACCTTCCTCCCGCACATGTAGGCGCAGTAGCTCTGGATCTTGTGCACACACTTCTTGTGGCAGGTCATCTTGCACACTAGGAGGTCACAGGGTGGGGTTCAGAGGGTATGCTGGGGACTCCAGGTTCCCCGACTGCCTTGTAAACTCGCACTGTAGGAATCTCTGTCCTAACTCCGTGACCGGAAGCCATGCAGGTTTGGTTCTCACAGCTTCCTGGTGGCCGTTAGTTGCCCCAGACCCAGTCTGGCCGGTAGGACCGGGAGCAGGTGTCTGGGGCTGGCAGGGCACTGTCCAAGGGACTCTGGGCATTACAGTGGCCAAGAGCGATGCTGTTTGTTCTCGTTCCAGCAACACCGAGCCCTACACCACCTGGCTGATGTCTTGGAGAGCGCGAGCGACCCGCTAAGAAGGAGGGCGTCTGGCAGCCCCCGAGGAGAGGGCAGAATCGGCCCCTCTGGGCCTCTGGGGGCTGACGGTCGGGTCAGGCTCGGGCACCTCCCTGTGCGTGACCACGGGCCAGCACAGCCCCGCCTCCCTCTCTCAGGGTCCCCAAGCTGGCTGTGCCTGGCACATGGAGGAGGGTGTGTGAGGGGAGGGGACCGTGGTTCAGGTCGTACGAGCAGCCTATGAAGGGACCAAGAGGCAGCACCCTGGGTGACCTGCCAGGTACGCAGGAGGGGGAGAGGCTGCAGAGGTGGGTGAGGACAGGCCCGTGGGGGCCCTGGAGCCAGCTAAGAAGTGGGCTCTGTCCTTGGGAGGGTGGAGGGGGTGAGGGGGTGAGAGGCTGCTGGGGCAGCGGTCTGGAAAGATCTTCCCTGCAGCGGGGGTGGCGAGCAGTGAGGGGCGAGGGGCACTCACCGCTGCAGAGCAGGGCCTTGTCCATGAGCCAGATGTAGGAGAGGCAGTGCTCGCAAGACTGCGGGATGCTCACCTGGTAGCTGGCGAACACGTGGCCGTTGTGCTCCTGGACCTGCGGGCGGCAGAGGGTGCTGAGTGCGGGCGCCCAGGTGGACGAGGGCCTGGCGGCATCTCGGGGGCGGGGGCTGCTCATTCGTGCCCACGGCTGGTCATGCGCCGGGGCAGAAACACACTCGTGCGCACGCACACACATGCACACTCGTGCGCGTACGTGCAGTGCCGACACGGACGCACATGACGGGCACACGCAGCATCCGCACGCACGCCTACTCACAGCACGCTCTTGCTTCCGCTTCTTCTTCTGAGCTTTGCTCTGCTGTGAGGGATACGAAGAAGGTGAGGTCACACAGGGCTCCCCAGGGCGCAGGGTCACCCAGCCAGGTCTCCGGCAACGGAGACGTCTGGGCGCCCCGAGCCCTCCCTCGCCTGGATTGGCAGCTGCCCTAACTCGCCCCACCCGCCCTAGGAGCGTGGGGGAGCCCCGAGGGGAGGAGGAGGGCAGGCAGGCAGCGGGGAGGAGGAGGGCAGGCAGGCAGCGGGGAGGAGGAGGGCAGGCAGCGGAGTAAGTGGGCAAGGCGTTAGTGGGCGTGGCGCGCTGGCCACCCACCTTCGCGGGCTCGAAGTCGTTCTTGCTGTAGCTGCGGGTGAACTCGTCCAGCAGCGACTGGAAGAGGTTGAGGACCAGGTTGGTGTCCTTCTCGCCGCGCTCGGTGGCCAGGTTGCTGACGACAATCTGGTAGTTCTCCATGAGGTCCTTGTAGCCCACGTGGATCTTCCCGTTCTGCGGGAATGCCAGGTGTGACCCCCATAGGCTGGGGCAGGGTGGGGGCAGCTGAGGGTGAGGGATCGAGGGGAGGGCACGGGAAAGGCCCCAGGCCAGGGGCCACCACGTACGGGCACGGAGTACATGGTTTTGATGTTGCTCCTGAACTTCTCGGTGGCTTCGATAAATAAGCTCTCGATGGGAGTCTTCTGGGAGCGTAGGTCATTTATCTGGAGAGAGAGGAGACGGCCCAGCATTAGCTAGGGAGGGGCCTGTGCGCCCGAGAATGTTCTACGCCGTCCCTCCTGCCTCTCCCAAGCCCTCCCTGGCCCCTCCCGCTGACCCTGGTCTCTCGGATCCCTTCAACCCAGGGCTAAAGCTGCTCTCGTCTGGGGCCGGACCATCCTCCGTCGCGCATTCCTGTGCGCTGCGCAGTGCTGAGCAGCATCCCTGGCCTTGACCCACCAGATGCCAGTTGCACCCTTGCCCCAAATCGTGACAACTCAAAATGTCTCTAGACATTGCCAAACGTCTCCTGGAGCTGCGGTTCTCAAGCTCCGGCCCGAGGCCCAGTACTGGTCCATGGCCTGTCAGGCAATTGGGCCGCCTGAGCTCCATGCCACCCTCCTGCCTCCATGACACCTCACCCACCCAGTCTGTGGGAAAATTGTCCTCCATGAAACCGGTCCCTGGTGCCGAAAAGGTTGGGGACTGCTGCCCTAGAGGACAGAATCTCCCCCAAATGAGAGGCGCAGGTTGTGGCCAGCTGTGTCCTCTGCCCCACATAGGTGCTCAATGTCCAGCCACACCCCAGGACAGGGTCACCTCGAATGGCCTGGCCATTTCCAGGCAGGGCTCCTAACCCCTTGGTATCCACATCAGCCCGCCCCAGCCCCTGCGAGGCTCCCAAATGCAGCTCTGTCGGCCGTGGGACTGTCCCCGGCCGGGTTGCGAACACCCTGAGCACGGGCCACAGCTTGTTCACCTCCACCTCCGCCGCATGCAGTTAGCGCTTAGTCAGCGTCTGCCTCGACAGCGAATGCGTTCTGCAAAAGCGTGTTCTAAACACAGGAAAGTTTGCGCGGCGCTGTGCACCTGCACGCGGCCTGGCGCCGCGCGGGGCGTGGCTGTGCCCACCTTGTTGAGCAGGAACTCGTCCAGGTACTTGAGCTCGTTGGCGTTGGTGATCTTGCGGAACACCGACTCTCGCCACTTCTCGGACACCGTGATTTTGCCGACCTTGAGGTTTCGGTTCTTCTTCCCTTTGCCTCCCGGCTCCTTGGCGTGCTTCTCACCTGCTGCGGAGCGGTGCTGGTGGCCGGAGGGCACTGTCGGGGACAGGGAGCAGCTGGCGGTGGTGGGTCCTAGGGCAGAGGCGTGGAGGACCCCCCCACCGCACTCTGCCTCGGTCGCTGGCCCCAAATGCCCCCAGCGCTGGAAGCTCTGTGCCCAGGGCTCAGCCCGCTGTCACTCAGGGGCCTACTGGGAGACAGTGCATGTCCCCAGGGGCCCTAGTGGCTCCGCCATCCATCCCTGAGGCTGTGGTGACCAACCTTCCGGACCCTTCTTCACGAGGGTGGCCTCCAGCAGGACCCCGGCAACTGCGTTCTCCGTTTCCTCCACGCCCTCCAGGCTGTACTTTTTGTCCTTGGTTTTATGCAGGAAAAGTCTCTTAAATGTGGATCTGTGGGAGAAATTAAGTGGCTTCTCTTAAGCCCGAGGAAGTGAAACCACGTGTGAGGCCCAGCCTCTCTCTGACCTGGCACACGGCAAATGCTCTGTAACTGTATGATTTTTTAAAGAAGGGGTCATTTTATTATAAAGAAAAATAGCCCTTTTCCTCATTACTGATGGGCTGGGATGCTGCTAAAACTCAGGCCCGTTTATATGAGCAACAGGGGTGTTGAAGGAAGAAAGTGAGATGCTCAACAGAAAAGCCACAAAGTGACTCTATTTTCACATCAAAAAAATAAAATAATAAAAGCCGGATGAGGTGGCTCACACCTGTAATCCTAGCACTTTGGGAGACTGAGGCAGGAGGATCACTTGAGCCCAGGAAGTTTGAGACCAGCCTGAGCAACACAGTGAGACCCTGTCTCTACAAAAAATAAGAAAATTGGCCAGGCGTGGTGGCGCATGCCTGTAGTCCCAGCTACTCGGGAGGCTGAGGCAGGAGGATCTCTTGAGCCCAGGAGGCTGGGGCTGCAGTAAGCTGTGATTGCACCAGTAGCTGGGACTACAGGTCCCATTTTGTCATTTTAAGCTGCCCAGGCTGTGGTACCTGGTGATGGGGGAGTCCCCCTGCTCCAGGGGAGCCTGTTCTGCCACTCAGCTCCGGGCCCTGTGTTTGGACCAAAGCTCACTGTCCCAGGGCCACTCTCTCTTCTCTGTGAAAGAACCACCTGGTGCATTTTCACAGGGCTCTCTGGGGAACAGAGCCCTGGCCCTGAGGGCCCAGGAGGGGGTCTCCCAGAGGAGGGGCTGGGAGGAAGGAGCTTGTTCTGATTCAGTGAAAAGCCAAATAGAACCCGTCCATCTGTGGCTAGATGCATGGTCACCCGCAGGGGGTGACCCAGACCGGCTCAAGGCCTCACTGGGAATTGTTTCATGCCGTTGTGGCCACCTGACACTCAAGGTCACAGGCTGGGCCTTGTGGGCAAGTTCTGAGCACGGCTGTGGCCAGGGACCTTCGGAAGGGTCTTTGCACAGGGGACCTCTCCTCCCAGAATTTCTAATAAGTGAACACCCGGCCGGGCACACTTCGTAAATTTGACTGGTTTGGGAGGTCGGGTTGCTGCAGGGCCTTGGCAGGGACACTGGTTGTCCTCTGGTGGCTCGAGTGCCCCAACTCCCACACTTACTTAGAGTCCACTTGGGAGCCTGGGGACAGCCCGGCATCGGGGCCGGAGGACACCTCGCCCGACTTCTTCTTCTGGACGGCCGGCTTCTTCGGGCTGGGCTCCCTGTCAGTGGCTTCCGCCGAGGGCTGCGAGAGGATGGCGCGGGGACGGGCGGGGTGAGCAAGGCGGGAAGCCGAGGAGGGTCCCTGCGGTCACTGCGCTCTGCCCACCAACGTCAGCTCTCTCTTAAGTGCCCCTTTGGGCAGAGCCAGGGGTGGCCGGGGCGGAAGTGAGCTCAGACCCAGGCGTGGGGGTGGGGGTGCGAGAGCTGCAACCCGCAGCCTTACCTGAGCCTTGGCTGGGGACGGGAGGAGCTTGGAGACATCACTCGTGGATAAGGACAGGCGCCTTTCCCTGCGAGAGCACAGAGATGTGGCTGTCACCAACCAGACCGAGTTGGCGGCCTTCCCTTGTCTCAGCGCACTGGGTTTCAGGGTCTCGCCTGGGAGATTCTGCCCGCCCCCTGCCCTGGACACTTGCGAATGTCTAGAGACACTTTTGGTTGTCACCACGAGTGGGGTGGAGGCCAGGGATGGACGCTGCTTAACACCCTACAGTGCCCAGGACGGTGCCACCACAGAGTGCTCCAGCCCCAGATGTGGACAGTGCAGAGGGTGAGAAACCCTGTCTGTCTGTCCTTCCGTCTACCCATCTATCCACCTTCCACCTGTGCATCCACCCGCCCATCCCTCTCTTCTGCCCACCCACCAACCATCCCTCTTCCACCCATCCCATCTCTCCCACCCACCCGTCAGCTCTATCTCCCTCCCACCCATCCATCTATCTTCCACCCACTAATCTCTAGCTTCCGCCCGCCCACCCATCTCGTATCCCCATGCCCCCTCCATCCGTCCATCCTCCTTCTGTCTGTAACGCTCCTGGCATCTGGTGGGCGGCGGCCAGGGGTGCTGTTCAGCATCCTGCCACGCGGGACAGCCCCCCGGCCAGGGAACCACCCGGCCCCAGTGTCAGCGGCGCTGTGCTGCGCAGCCGCTGCCGTGGAAGGCCTGTGTCTCCCGCAGCGCTGCTTTCGTCTGCCTGCAGGCGCCCTGGCAGAGGGGCTGCAGGTACGCGGACCTGACGCTTGGCTTGCCAGGGACAGGGCAGAGCGAGCCCCGTCCCTCTCACGCCGGGGAGCGTCACCAGCCCTGCTCACGGATGAGGACACAGAGGCCCAGGAGGGCTGGCGAGTGGGGGACTCGGCCTGAGGGGCTGCCTCCTACCAGCCCGGGGCTCGCCGCTGAGCGCAGCTCAGGGCGCCAGCTGGGTGCCCCCGGCAGGTGCCTGGTGTCCACCGAGCCCTTTGCCTGTCCTCTTGGTCCTCCTTGGGGCCGCCATGTGGCTGCTGGCACAACTGCTCCCGTGTCTTGGGGGTGTGTTGTGCCACCCCCGCCCGCCTCGCCTGCAGCGCTCAGAGGAGGGGGCGCTCAGAGGAGGGCGCAGTGCTTACTCTGTGGGCGTGAGCGCGGCCCCGGTGGCGCGGTGCCTCTCGCTGAGGTCCAGGGACTGGCTGAGCATGGTGCCACCGCCAGTGCCGGCGGCCGCCAGCAGCTTCTTGCCACGCCACAGCTCCACGGCGTGGGCCAGCCGCTCCACGTCCGTGCACCGCTGGATCTGGGTGGAGCCTCCGGGGCTCTCGGGCTTGTCCCGAGCTCTCGGGCTGCTGCGTGGTTTGTTCTCGTCCTTGGGGGTCTCCGGGGTGCCGCCGGGGGCTAGCGGGCCCGCCCTGCTGTCTAAGGCTAGGCTGGTCGGCCGGTCCACATGGCCGGGCCTCAGGTTCCCCCCGTCGGGCGCCTCCTTGGTTTCCAGGGAGACCCCGATGACTGGGGTGGCCTGGGGTCTCTCCACGGGCTGCTTTCGAGCATCGTCCTCCGTCTCTGCCTCTGCGTCTGGAGGACTTTCGTCTTCTCTGCTCTCCTTTTTGTCTTCCGGGAGGCCCTTGCCTTGCTCCTGGATGGTCCTTCCAGAAGGTTCTCTGAGAGCGCTGTCTTCCTTACAGGACTGGATGTGCTTGTTCTGGAGCTTCACATGCTCCAGCCCCCTTTGCCGGCGCGACTCTCGCTTCTCCCGGCTGCTGGGGACTCTCTCGTGACTTTCGGCCGTCACGGTCTTCTGGGGCGGGAGAGCCTTCGCTAGACTCGGGGCCTTCTTGTCAGGTGTGGACGGCTCCGCTGGGGACACATCGCTCGGCAACGCCTGCGACTCCAACACCGGGTGCCGGCTGTCCTCCGAGGGCTCCGGGGCCTGCTCGGCCACCAGCTCCCTGCCGGGGGCCTGGCCTGGCCCGGCCTCCTCGGCCTCTGCCACCGCGGCTTGCTGGGCCTCCCTGTCCTCTTCTGCCTCCCGCTTCTCCGAGACCATCTGGCTGAAGCTGTGTGACGAGAAAGTAGAGGGGCCGGCTCAGAAACAAACGTCCGCTCCACCTGGAGCAGCGACCACCCGGGATGCCAGGGGGCTGTGGGCTGGGCTCCGGCCTCTGCCCAGTCACCCTTAGAGATGCTTCTGGAAAGCCGGAACCTCCTCAGCCAGACCTAAGGTGCCCCCTTGTCATGGACACCCCTGCCCTGGGTCTGCCTGGCTTCTCTCGGAGTGAGGAGTCCCTTGCTGGGCCTGTGGCATTGGGTTCTGTTGAGAACCCCATGAATTCTTTTGGGCTCTGCTCAGGGTTCCCCCTGAGCTCCTCATCTACCAGGCTTTTGCACATGTGGGCAGTGTCTGAAAGGGACTTCTGCCCGGGACTTGGGCCCCGACTTGCAGCAGAGGGCGGGTCTGTGGTGGTGGTCAGTGGGGGAAGGGCCCCCTGAGTGCCCAGGCCACCCTACCAGGGGGATGTGGGCAGCTCCTGGCTCAGGTGCCCAGGCCAGGGTGAGGCAGCTCCACGCCAGGGTGGCCGGTGCCTTTGTGGCCGCGGACACCTGAGCTCTCAGTGCGGAGGAGGGGAGTGTGCTTTGGGCAGGTCTGGGGGCCCCTTCTTCAACCCTGAATCCAGGTTCCACCGACTGGCTCGGGGTGGCCAGGCAGCTAGTCACCCAGGGCGCTGTGTCGCCTACAAGTGCCGGATACCTGCGTCATCTCTCCGAGCCGGTGTGATGGTCAGACAGCCCTTCTTGTGTCCAGAATGACATCCCCATAGTTTCAGGGGCCACAAGGTATCTTTTTTTTTTTTTTTGAGACAGAGTCTCGCTTTCTTGCCTAGGCTAGAGTGAGTGCCGTGGCGTCAGCTTAGCTCACAGCAACCTCAACATCCCTAGGCTCAAGTGATCCTCCTGCCTCAGCCTCCCGAGTAGCTGGGACTATTAGGCATGCGCCACCATGCCTGGCTAATTTGTTCTACATATTTTTAGTTGTCCAGCTAATTTCTTTCTATTTTTAGTAGAGACAGGGTCTCGCTCTTGCTCAGGCTGGTTTCGAACTCCCAGCCTTGAGCGATCCACCCGCCTCAGCCTCCCAGAGTGCCGGGATGACAGGCGTGAGCCACCGCGCCCTGCCCTGAAAGGTTATCTTGGGCCAGCTCTTTGGGGAGTGAACTTTCAGACTTCCGGAATGTTCCGGGGAGTGTCACCCCGCTCTGCTCACCTCTCTCTGAGTGAAGCCCCAAGGCTCTGAGCGG